CATGACCTGCAGGAAACGTTGAACAAGGTCACTTATGCATAGGGTCCCTGTGGATCCCTGCCTTCCAAGCGGTCTATTCCTTCAGCTCTGTTTCTGCAGTGATCAAGTTAGTACTCAACATGGACAATGACATTTTAGTAAGAGAAGCTTATTATACCTCCTGTATATAATCCAAGTAAACTATTCTTGCCTCAGTTGTAAAGCTGATGGGAATTATATATCCTCAGGTTCACTGGGGAAAATTCTGAAATTTCTTTCCTTTTTTAGATTTTAGGTTGCCAATTAACATTTTACTATTACTGTTCTATGAATTCATCTTATGTACCCAGTGCAAAGAGTAGGTAAAAGAAATTACGTGGGAGCTGTTGCTTGACTTTGACAAGTTTTTTATCCTCTTCATCAGAGTGCAGTTTCTAAGTCATAGACTTAGACTGTTCTGTAGGGGCAAGTCAGATATCAAAGTGCTGGCTCCAGTGGCCTGTTGTGACTAGCTTTATTTCTCCAGAGACAGAACTTTCATCCCTCTTTCAGTCCTTTGTCTCACATGGGATGCATTTTGTCTCCTGCTTTCTTCTTTCATAACTTCATAGGAAGAGAAGTAAAGAATAGTGGCTAGTTACTGAGGGATGTTTATCCATTCACACTCATGCATTTTCATGTCACATTCTCCCCGAGGTTAACCTCTCCTCCCCCCCCAAACTGGCAGAATTAATACAGTGGGAGGGATGAAGTCCCTTAAGTGACAAATGTAACCTTTAAAGAAGTGGCAGGATCACAAAGACTTTAAATATGTCTAAATTCCTACATACTCTTTGTCTCTTACAAAACTTAACCTTTGAGAAATATGTATGTGTTGGTTTAGCATCTCTTACCTTCCTTTATCCCTTTATTCCTCTCCCTAAAATTTCAGTTGTAGTTGTTAAAACTAATGTAAAATTTTACCACAGATCTTTTGCCTCAGGTACACTGGACAAAAACTCAGCATCTCATACTCTCATGTAGAATGGAGAAAGAAATGCTAATCTAACCAAATGATTTCAGTGGTTTATTTTACTTCTAAAAGTGCTGCATTTCTACTGACCCTCATTCTTTATATTTCTGTACACAGTGATGTTTGAGGTTGCTTGGATTTTTGTTTGCATTAGATATTTTTTATCCAAAGGTCAAGTGAGCATTGCTTTTGAGTCAGATGCCTACTGGCTGCATTTCTAATAGTTAATCTTTTCACACTGAGAGAAATAAAAAAGTGGAAGACAGTTCAAGCTATCCCAAATAAACAGACAGAAGTAAAGCAACTATTACTTTTCCTGTGTGGACTGCTCTTGCTCATTTCTCCTCAAGAGATAACACTCTGTGACATAATGTCAGATAACCATGTTCAATGTTTCACAGACTTGCCATTTAAAGATTCATTTCCACTCCACTTATTTTCTTTTTATCTGCCTCTTTTTTGGTGCATTTCATCAGTGAAAATTTTCATGTAGACTCCCCAGAAAAGGCACTGGGGAGAGAGAGAGAGGCAAAAGGGTCCAAGTTGACTTAAAACACCTCTAGAAATTATAAACGGAGTACGAATGAAATGTTCTCATGAGAATAGTTGTTTGCACAAAATTCTCAACTGTTACTAAAGCTTCAGTGCAGTTTCTGGGGAAGACAGATACATAAAGCCTCAGGTTAATTTCAGTCATTACCAAGCATTTTACATCTGCTGAAGAATTCCAAACATATAAAAGGATGTCAATCTAAACCTTTAGACTAAAATAAATAAATAAATAAAGAACAACTTCAAAGGCTGTCAGTAGGCAAGTTATGGATCTGATTCAGCTTTTAACCCCTAGAGGTATGAGCACGCTTTATCTGAAAAGAATTGCAAGGTCTGTACTCTGCAACATTACATTTTAATAATCTACAGTACACAGAAATGATAAGAAAAGAGAATATAATTTTGTACATAATTTTATGAGAAGCTGTGGGGAACATATTCTTTCTATGCAATTATAGAAAATACTAATGACAAATCATTGACCGAGAACTTTGTTGACAGTTAGATTTCCTATTTATAGCTGTACTTAAAGCCTTTAGTACTTTTTAGGATTCCCAAATTTTCTTCCTTCACTAGAATATTTTTAAGGTATAGTTCAGCAAATATACCTGCTTAGAGCTGAAAACAGCTAAGGCCTTTAAGAAGTTGAATGGAACTTATTAACAATCTCTACATTATCCTTTTAAGATGATAATTTATCTTTTTAAGTGTGTTCTGTAAAATCAGCAAAAAGTCTGATGGGAGTAAGAGCCCTGCATTATACACAGCTACAAGGTTTACTGCATCCTATAGATTCTGCTGCAAGGCACACTACAGTGGACTATCAGGTAACTTATCTTGAAGAGATGTTTGACTGAGTTACTATAGCAATGCCAAGTTTGCAGAGGCAGAGGAAGGAACCACACCAATAGAAAAAAGCAACTGGACACAGAACACTGACAATCTTGTTTAGAAAACTTTATAGCATGAACCAGCCTGAAAATAAACACAAAGGTTCACTCCTTTGAGAGTTTACTGAAAATACATTCAGAGGCCTCAATAATATAAACACTTGATTTTGTCTTACTTATTTCAGTATATCAAGGAATTAACTGAGTTACATCAGGTAAACCTGGTGAACCTACGACTAGATTATTTGGAAGTAACTGCATGAAATGCTTCTGATGACTCACAAAGGAACACTTTTGTCCCTCTAAGACATTGGTCATTGGGTAAAAGGTGGAAAGGAAGTAGGAAATAACTGTCTGCTGCAACAATATTTTAATCCACTTACAAAAAATCTTCCTTGGAAAGGCCTTTTTTCCGCTTTTTCGTATCTCCAGTGGTGAGTCATCTAATCTCATCTCTGTATATTGCTAAACTCCACAGGGATCACCTTTACTTCCCAACTTTATCCTGGCCAGAGATTCAGACAAAAGATCCTTAATGTCTTTCCTTAAGTTCAGCTCTCATCTCTCAAATCTATTCCCTTCTCTTTCACAAAATGAAAGAAGTCTTTTTTAGAAATGCTTCCCCTTCTTCCCTTAATTTTTTTCCTTTTCTTTCTTCTGGGGGAGGCAGGATGCTGTATCAAATCTCTCTTTTCTATAAATCAAAATTGCTTTGTGTGGAGCAAGTTGCTGTGTAGAATATATTTTTTTTTCCCTGTGTAAAAGGATTCTAAAATCATACTTTTAAAACTCATAGATCAAAAATACATGCTTGTTCTCCCTAAGTAACATTAATTTACTCAAAAAACTCTGCACTTGAAAGAGTTAATAAAAATTCTAATTACAGGATAAGAAAGAAAGGTCAGACTCCACTTACATCATTGTGAAGGGCTTTTATTACACACTGCTATAAAACATATTTCTTTTTTCAGTTGCCATCCTCACAGGGTAACCTGCATACCAATAGGATCTCCAAAATGCCATGAAGCAAAATATATTTATCTGCTAAATTCTATGTACAGTAACCTAACAAATGCCAGAGAAAGAAAGATTGCCCTCTGCACAGTAATACTTGTGTAGATGTCTTCTTTATGCTAACAATGACAAGGCTCTCTAGGTTTGTACTGTACTCCAGAATACATTTATTTCAAAAACCAGACTCTACATCAAAGAGAAAAGGTGCACATTTTAGGCACTGAGATACTTAATATAGTGAGCAAGTACTCTTTCATGAAGTATGCTAATTAAAAATATCTAATCCAGAAAGGAAAAACAGAAAACGTATATCCCAAGTGTTCTTGAGGAAATTAGACAGTGTATGTTTGGGAGTATCTATGCCTCTCTGTCCTGACTGGCCAACTAAATTCTGATTTTAAACTCTGTCTAAAGCTTCACAGAACTGTTATTTGATTAACTTGAGTGTGTTGGATAGTAAGTCTATACAAAAGAAGGGTGGCTCCAAATGTAATCATTGTAATTTCTTAACTCCAGCTATGCAAGACAACAAACAAGAACTTTACTGTGGGACAAGTGTAAGTCAGAATAATTCTATTTTTTTTTTGATACATTATACTTCAAATCCAGTATCTGTGATTTAACACATACAAAGTTGTTTTTTATACTTATTTTAATCATTTGCATCCCTAAATTCTTACAACTGCAAAGAAATATACATTAAAAAATGCAAGATTTACTGTTGGCTTTCATAAAACCAGTGTGTGCTGTCAGATGCATTAATTCAATATTTCATGTGATGTATGCTCAAAGTTAGCATGTAATTAATGAAGGAATGCCTGACTTTCCTTTTCTTAAGGAGTTTTTAAGAATCACATTCAAACAGTTGTGTCTGAGTTGCACTTTGTTTGCAGAGCAAGTACTGCCTGTCCAACATTTCCAAACAATAGATATTAGCAGAGAACTGTAAGGGTTCCATTTCACCACTTCTGCTGGCAATTCTATTAACTGTCTGTTTATCTTGTGGTCTAAATTTATGACAGGCCCATTTGCCGAGAGGCCTGGAGTTTCCTTGTTTACAATACTGCAAAGTAAAAGGTGACCTTTTTATTTTTGTTTAAAACCTTTCAACAGTTTGTTCTGCTCCAAAGATAGCACCTTAATAAGGTTTCAGGACAGAAAGCTCTCTTGATACTGTTTTCCTTTGGGGGGTACAGAGCACTGCATTAACTTACATAGACATTAGAAAACAATTTTAAAAGAAAATACAAACTTGACTAAAGAGTATATTCATAGATTAGAAAGCTGCTGTGCTAAGCTCATACCTGCCATTATGAAAATGAAAAGAAAGGAAAACCCGGGGGGGGGGGGGGGGATACATAGCTGGCTAAATAAACAGTTAAAACAGCCATTTAAACAGTTGCACCTATACACACAAGTAACAAAAGCATCGACCACCTGGCGCAATTCTATCAGGACCTAATTCTGACAACAATATGTATCATTATATTGGGATCTGATAATGAGCAAACACTGGAGGCATTACATGTCTTTAGAAGAATCAGACTTCCTACCTTAGTAAGACAGATAGAAGGTAAGTCCCCCTTTAAAGAAAGTTGTAAGTAAAACCAGGCAGCAGTTGCAGTAAATTGAGTCCTTTCAGTCACTGTATACATGCAGCAGTTCTGCAATAAGGGAAAAATATAATGGGAGGAGCAGCTGTGAACGAGTGACCTCCTGAAGCTGAGTTCTCTTTGTGAATCAAGCACTGAGAGCCAGTGCCTCTGATTTGCATGGATTATCTCCACTTGAACAGATACATTTAAATTAACTGGCACAGGGGCAGCGGGATGAAAAAAAAAAGGGGAAAAAAAAAAGAAGGAAGAGTGAGTGAGTGAAGGAGTGGGGAGCGGAGGAGAGCGAGGAAGGAGAGAGGAGAGGAGATCGGGGCGCTTGGCTGGGTACGCTGGTTCAGGCAGCGCTGTGTCTCAGAAGAGCTACAGCTCCCTCTTCATGTCACAGTTGTAAGACGAGGAAAGCTGTCATTATGGTCGAGTTTAAAACAGGTTTTTCCGCCCCCCGTCTCCCCCCCCCCGGCCCCCCCAGCTTCTGATGGTCCATTTGATCAGATTTCTATAAACACTTAATAACTCAGTCTGTCATGCAGCTAGGGTTTTATGCTGCAAGCCTCAAATGATTATAAATCTGGTAAACCCCACTAAATGATTTTAAACACAGAAATATTTTGAGCAGAGTAACTTACACAAATGGAGATGGGATATTTCCAAGTGTGCCATGACAGATTTATTGTTTGTGAGTGTGCAGGTGTCTTTAAAATAGTTAAGGGAAGGCAGCATTCAAAGCACTTCTGTGCAGGAGAGTAACAGGATGGTGGTGTGTGCTCCAGCCAGTATTTTCAACATTATCTAAAATCTATCAAAACAAAAGAGATACAAAAAATTTACATTCAACCGCTTCAGAATTTCTCCCTTATTACCATAAATACCACAAACATTACTTGTTGCACATTCCTGATTTGATTTAAATGCAGTACTTAAGCTGATTAGAGAAATACGAGAGTATGTTCAACCCTCTTCAACCTGCATCCAATCCAAGAGGAACCTTAACTAAACTTTGTTTCTTTTGTTTAGAGTACTTCAAATGAGTTATTTTTACACCAAAATATAGAATTCTGTGAACCTCTACATGTATCCATTCCACTCCGAAAATCATGAACAGAAAGTAGAATGGCTGGTCATGTGTCTTTTCATTACCAGCTGAAAACAGGAAAGGATGAAATTAACATTTTTTGAGAATAATTATTTGGTAAGATCTGGTGAGACAAAATGTCCCATATTAGCAGTTAAAACATTTAACCTTTGTCTTGTTAAGAAGCATGTCTTGCTCTAAAATTCTGCTAACATGGTCAGAGATCAATAGAATGAAACCACCTACAAAGACACCCAGGGCTAAATTCTATCTCTTGCTCATTTGCAGTTGAAGTAGAGTCCAATGTGAGTCCGTTGTGTTCCTCTTAGTGATTCACATTTCTGGGGTAAAGCCCTAGGAGTTCTCCTTGTAGGACCCCACCATTTATTGTAATGCAGATTCCAGAATGATGCCTCTATCTGAACAGAATATATCGTAAGTACTGTACTTAATCTAGTCATGAGAAATTGCTTCTTGGAAATAATCACATTTACAGTAAAATTTGCTGCAGATAAATGATTACATAGATATTGGACAAAGTACTGGAGAATATATTTGGATTTTCTAATAAAGGCTATATGGCAGTTATTGGTGTCTGCCTGAGCCCCATAAAGTGCTTCCTCTGAGAAATGCTCTGGGTTCACTGGAAAAGGTTTGGGATTTTGATTATTTTATTATGAAAGGAGGGGGGGATCCTTCAACAAGACTCTGTGTATGTGAATATTTACCCTGATAATATTTAACCTCACCTAAATTTTATCTTTACCTGTGCAGTCTCCAGAACTTCTCAGCCCTGTTCTTTGGTCATATCTTATGTGTATGTTGGACCCAAAATTGTATTTCTAATTTTCTCTCTTGTTCTTTTTGCCATGACCACTCACTAGGTAATAACAGCTGAATTTGACTCCAGCAGGACACTCAGGAAACTAGTCACAATATCTAACTTGTATATGATAGCTGTGGAAAGCAGCCTCCCAGTTGATAGATAGCTTTGAAAAAGATGGACTGTGAACCAAATTTGCTCCTATTACTTTGCACCCTGCAATACACCTCTCAGTCCTGCAGTGTGCCAGGCTGATAACGGCACAGCTGTTCAGTCCCAATAACCTGTATGTCACCAGCAAAAGGGATGCCCAGAAAAAGGAAGAAATATCCAGCAGTAAGAGGGATTTTCACCTTAAAGTTACACGTAAGAGGAAATGTAAGGAATTGGGACAGCCATGGAGGGTACATGACAAATTTCAGGGACAATGTAAACTGGATGCAGCAGCTGTGGGATGTCTTATTCTCTGGAAAGATATGGACGGCTGAAGTGTCATCTGCTAAAGTTCATGAAAAGATGTGCCTGGAGGCAGTGTTGAATGAAGATGTGTGTTTAAGGAAATGGTGTAACAAAAGTAAACTGAATGGGCAACTGGGGATTTATGGACACTTATTGAGAGAGAGGTCATATAAGAGATAGCTCAGAGGAGACTGGTGGGTCGGGGAAGCCTGCAACAAAAAAGAGCAAGTGGAACAGTCTGGATAACAGAGCAAAGCTAAAGAATATGCTTGCCATCTGGGAAACTGAAAAAGTACAGCAGACAAAACCAAAACAGAAGGTAGAAAGAAAGTGGAAAAGTTAATTCCAGCAAAAATTGTAGGAGACTAGGATCCAAAGAGGAGTATGAAGGGTGGAGAAATCTGTGAGAAGGTAAAAACAAAAGGAAGTCTCATCTGTGAGTAGAAGATAAAATGGACTAAGAATAAAAGTAGTGCCAACATGAACTGGGAGACTGTGTTAAACAACTAAGTTGTCACTAAATCAATTCCACAGAACAGGATGCGAGGTCATTTCCCAAGAAGGAGGATGTGAGATGTGGGTGGGAAGGGAAAAAAAGGATTTTGCTAGGAATAGGGAAGAATCATTTTTCTTTAAATTAAATTTTCTTCCCAGTGGGAAAATGACACTATGAAATTCCCACTGGGATAAATCAAAGATGATTACATGAAATCATTTCATTTTAGGTAGGGGAAAATGCCTAAAAAGTTAAGACTCATGGGATTGATATCTGGCTGACTGGAACTGAGATCCACATAGTTAAAAAAAGAACCTTAAGAAATACATGGAAGCCTTGGTAGAGATTCATTACATCATCAACCCTTCTTACTGTACACAAGAAGAAAATCTGGTCAATGAAAATTAAGCTATGGTTGAGTGGATGATCAGGAAAGAAAAGGTAAAATTATATATTGGGACCACAAGCCACCCAGGAAAGATGTAAAGACAGCATAAGTAAACTTCTTTAGCTACCTTCTAATAATCTGATAGATTAGAAAGGAATAAGAAAGGATGGCATGCATCAAACAGAATATGTTTGGGACAAATTAATGCATATGTTTACCAAAAAGCCAACAGCCAGTAAGAGATGTAACTATTGCTGTCTTTGTTATGATAAGCAATATAGATGCTATGAGAAAACTGGTCCAGAAAGTAGTCCAAATACTGATCATGAGTTAAGCTCCTTTAAAAGAAATGTGAAAATCAGTAAAAATAAGATTTTATAGCTCTAAGGGCAAATTTTGATAATCTAGAAAGTCTTATTAAAATTAAAAAGACTGATCTATTCAAGCCTTTGAATGTGAAAGAGCCTTGGAATTACTTTAAATCAAAGGTGCTAAAGCTATGGAATGTATAGCTGATTGATGGAGGGAGAGAATGCGTTGGAAAGCGGTCAAGCCATTCCATGAAAAGGAAGAACACCTTCAAGAAGGTTATTATTGCTATGCAGGGCACAAGAGAAAGCAAAAAAAGACATATCAGCAAAGACAGATCTGTTTGAGAGGTCAAAATGCAAGGTAAAGTGAACACTGTCAATAGTCAAACTGCACAACTATTTTCAAGGGATATTGAAACACAGCAAAACAATCTTCATGCAAATAAAAGAGACCAAATAAAACATTGGACTTCAATACAAGGGGGAGTCAATGGAAATAAAGAAAATCTACCTACAGTTAAAAACTGAGTATTTTGTTTCTGTTTTCAGTAATATTGACCAGAGAGGAAACAGGATAAATAATGGGAAAGAAGACATGATAGAAATTATCAAGCTTTAAGCAAAGCTAGAATCACAGTGCACTCAGGCCAGGGGGAGGTATCAAATAAACTTCATTCCACAGTTCTGACAAGAAAGGAAACATGAAATCCCAAACTTGGTAGGAAGCAGCTCAGGCATGATACTAGCTGACTGGAGAAAAGCAAATGTATTATCCATTTCTAAAAGGGAGACCTATGCAGCTACAAATCCATTAGTTTGACCTCAGTAGCTTTAGAAGAAATTTTGAAGGAAAGATAATTGAAGACAGGGAGGTAAATGGAAAATGGGATAACATACAAAAAGGATTTACTAAAGATAGATCGTGCCAAGTGAATTTGTTATCTCTCTTTAATAAGATAACTGATTTTCTAGACAAAGGATTTGTGATGCATCCTATCTATATCTGTGCTGCATATGATACAGTATCACATAGGAAACAGGGGATTAGGAGAAGAGTTGTAAAGTGGATAAAAGATTGCTTAATGGGTAGATGGCAACAGGTGGTATTGAAAGAAATAGCATCAAACTGCAGGAAGTTTACTAGCAGGAATCCTCAAAAATCATTCTTGGGATCAATCTTTTTTTAAGATCTAGGCATAAAGAGAGGAGATATGAAATCTGTAATTTCATTAAGCTAGGAAACAAAGTCATTACAAAAAGGATCACTGTTTTTTTTTTTATTACATAAAATATAGGTACCTGAATATTTTACACACACACATAAAATATGGCATTATAGTTTCAATAATAAAAAGGGAAATATTCATGCCATCCACAGGCCTGAGAGTATGGCCTTATCTGAAATTCTGTGCACAGTCTTTGTCGCTTGGAGTCAAGAAAATATGCTAAAACTGGAATAACTGCAGAGAAGTGCAACTGCAGTGGCTGGCAGACTGGAGAGCCACCACTTAGGAAGGAGAGTGAAATGCTTGACTGCTTTTGTCTGGCTAAGCAAAAAGCTGAAAGAGAATATGGCTGATGTCTATAAATGTATTTATTAGACACCAGGCTGAAAAAACAGCCATATAAAGCTATAGGATAAGGCTGACAAAGGAAAAGCAGCTCATGCTTAGATAAGAAATGCAGAG